AGAGCACAGTGATTCGGTGAACGTAAATCCGGCGATAGAAAACTAAAAGGCGGTCACAGACTCGGTTGAATTTTCGATTCGCTGAGCTCTGACTTTGTCTAGCTAAGCGCTTAATCTCAGCACGAAGTAATTTATGTTATTGAAACGCCTGTCGGTCCTGTCTGTAATCACTTGCATACGAGATAAACAGTAAACCACTGACCAAAACCACCCGATACACCCCGCGTATATCCACTTTAATTAATTACTAAGCTACTTTACACATTTTCCAATCCTACGGTCGAATATTCAAAGCCAATAAGCTGTTTATGAGTTGTCTCGAGTAACTTTGAGAGTGAATCACGTTTCTAGCTATTTCCTAATTCGGTTTACGATTAAATAAGCGTAATACCGTTCGTGAAGGTTCGTCCTTTCCATGGTCAATCGTGGCCGCAAAATTTGTTGTTTCGGAATTGCGGAATTTTAAAGAAATTTCAAAATTTTAACATTGGTCGTTTCAAAAATTAAGGCGAAAGTACGCAGAGAAGAAGAATGAAGGCTTAAATTAAGGCGAGTGGCAAAATTTTCAATAGGTGCCAAGGACACAGTGTGAGAAAATTTAAAAAATATCTATAGACGTCCAGGGCACAGTGCAAAAAAATATTCAAAGCGTCTATAGATGTCAAGGACACTCGGAAAATTTTGAAAGGGTCAACAGCGTTGAAAGGGTTAAAAGGTACCAAACAGTATTTCTTCCCAGATTTAACCTTCGCTTCCATAAATAATGTGCGAAAAAAGGTTTCCCGTTCCCAGCTCTCCTCTTAATAAATGCAGATTTCAATCAACCAGTTTCTTACCTTCTTCGCCATTCCCAAGTAGTATAGTTTCTCCGTCTTCTCGTCTCCACGTAATATTTGGCGTTGGAGCTCCCTTAGCAGCGCAACGCAACGTGACGTTGCTGCCTTCTCTAACTACCATATCCGTGCTTGTTAAATAATCCAAAATATCCGGCGGAACTGAAAGCAGAAAAATTCCGAATTGTATCGAAAATCGAAAGAAATAGTGAGAACTCCGCACTATTCCAGATATTTAAAAATCGTTAAATTTCTTATTCCTCGATACTTTTGTTCATCAGATTTGGGTCGTCGTAAAATACAGAAAGTGGTATTATCATCAACTAACCCACAACTTCCAAGTAACCCGTCTGACTTTTCATAGGATCGGTGTTTATCTGGCACATGTAAGCGCCTCGATCATATTCGCGCACTTCTCGTATGTGCAAATGCCACGTTCTCTGCTCCGTGTGAGTTACTCCGATTCTCTGATTCTTCGTGATCACATGATTGGCGATTGTTAAGATTGTCTGCGTGTCCACTCGCAGCCATGCTACCTGCAAAGTGCAAAATGAAAAACAAACCTGTTTAATTCGTCTCAACAACTCGCTAATTTATTACTTTCCAGCATGGACGTTTTAAATTCACCTTTACTCGTCACACGTGTTTGCAGTGTTTACGAACTGGCGAAGCTCATCGTCGGACATAAAACGACGTGTCGCACATAAATATTCCACGTGGATGTTAATGGAAAAATGCACGCAAGGTGAATATTTGAGAAATACTTTTCAAAGAATATTACCGCGTTCTCTTTCAGCTTATCTGAGTACAGGCAACCCTCTGATCAAAGGGAGCACAGTCTGCAATATCTCCTTTGATTCCGTTTTCAAAATTGCCTCCAGCTCACAATCAGTCCAAGTATACGTTGCATAATTCATCGAAACGCATTATTATAAAAAAAAGAATTACAACAGACGCTAAAGAGATATTGGAGAAATAGAAACGTGGTCAATGTGGAAAGAAGTATCATAATGTACAGCATCGATATACCTCGAAACAATCCTGATTTATCGGTTGTCGTTATCGTTCTATCAGGGTAATTACACCGGTGCCCCAAGAATTCAGGGAAGAAAACATCTTGGTTGCAACCGGAGAGCAAATTCTCGCGCTTTTTCCAGAAAATCCCTTCTTTAATCATTCCTTGATACAGACCGCCTCTCCCTCGACTTCTATCTCCCGCCGTTTGTTTGTTTCTTCATTTCTCATTTCTCATGTTTCCCGGCCAATTACACTGTCACGATTTATGTACTACGAAGAATTAGTAGTTCCGGTAATTTACTGTCAATACGGGAAGCTCGCGAAGTGTTATTCCAGAATTGGCCGATTCTCTGGAACTTTAATTCGTCGGCTAGCTGCAAAAACTACGTACCGGGTGTCTCGAAGGTTTCTGTATAAAGTCAGTCCCTCCTTTGTCCTTTCTCTGGACTTTTACGGGAAACGTTTTTCTCCGACGAACGCGAACAGAAAATCGCGAGCCGTAGTTTATTATTAGCGAGTGCTTCTCGATTCTATTACCGGCAAAATGGCGGCAATTCTCTCGCGGAAATTACGTTAAGGTTCTATTAAATTTGCCACTTTTTCTCTGGCAATATTCTCCTTTCAATCGGAACCGTTCGAAAAACTCTCTCCTTTTTCTCTTTTTCCTTTATACTTAACGTTAACTTAACATAAACCGATTTCGATGAAATTTTCAGCGTGCCTGTCATTGGCATAGATCTACAAAACGTATTTTTCAAATTTTCATTACGAGCTCAGCTATTTTCTCCGCGATTCCGACTAATTGCAGTTTTTTCAAAAATTTGTACAAACGTCGTTCACGATAGCAAGTGGGTGAATCTCTGTTCGCCCGTCCCTGAGCGCTGGTGTTTTTCGTTAATAACTCGAAAACGAAGCTTCAAACTACATTTTGGATAAGGAAAAAGTTGTTCAGGGTCACCCCAGCAACCCCCCATTTCCGGGTGGTCCCAACGTTACGAGACACCCTGTATGCGGAATTTTAAATATAAGATTTCAACGACAATGTTTCGTCAGGTTGCCGAGGACGAAGCTTTCTCGTCAAGAGCATTTCGAATAGTAACAATCGTAATGCGTTTATTGTATTTAATCAAGCGTCGAACAATCGTGCACGTTGAATTAACTGAGCGTCAAACTCAGCGAATCATCCACGTTCTATATGCCCACGAGGTTGGATAAAACGGTTATCGTTTGAGAGGCATTATTTCTCCCTAGCAACGGTCCCGTTGTCTACCTCGGTGTCCACCAGGTTACCTTCACATGGCCGATCTTCAAATGATTCGATATGTGTAGCAGGTGTATCGCAGGTGTGCCTTGCTTTCTTTTACGAGCCGCCAAAGTGGCGAATGGAAGTGCAACCTTTCTGGATACTAAGAAGATTCTGTTAATTGGCATTTCTCAAAATTATCTGCGATTCGACGTCTCCCTTTCTTTTTTTTTTTATATAAATTTGTCGGTTTTGAAGGAATTTTTCTTTGAGAAAATCTTGGATTTAAGGCAGAGGTGTAGAAGAGATTTCTGTTTTTATTAAATGAGATGTTACAATTTTTTATCTTTGTGCGATAACCGATTTGCGACGATTTCAGTACTCTGTCATATTTTTTTAATATAAATTTGGGAGTTTTGAGGAAATTGGATATTATTGGATATTATTAGTGATTTGAAAACTTTGTCCGCCTGGAATATTTTCGTTGTTTGCAGTTACATGCAAAACTTGCTACGAATAGAAGCGTAGAAGAGATTTCTACTATTTTTCAAATGGGCCCCTATATTTTTTTATCACCGTGTGATAACCGATTTCTGGCGATTCCACCACTCTGTCGTGTTTTTCTAAATATGAATTTGCGAGTTTCGAAGAAATTCTTCGTACGATAAGCATATTTAAAAATCTTTGGTATTATTATCGACATGTTAGATATAGACATATTTTCAGGGTGATTCAGAAACTTTGCCTACCTGCAGTATTTCCGTTCTTCGCAATAATATGGAGTAATGTTATATACAAAACTTTCTACGCGAGTAGAATACTATTTTTTAAACGGAATCCTATAATTTTTTATCGCCGCGCGATAACCGTTGTTGCGGCGATTTCAGCGCTTTATCATCGCAGCCGAACCAGCTGGCGTTTGTACCTCTCTCAACAATGATATTCTAATTACAACGTTGCTACGTGCCGCAAAATTCTTGCTGAAATAACAACAGCACACTTAATTATCTAGAAACGTGGCATAGAGAAAGCGGCAAAGGCGTCATTGTCTCAGTAAGTTTGCTCTTTTAAATAGACTCACGTACCGCGTGGTACAAACACGTCAGAAACACGTTCTCTTCTAAAATGAACTTTTGTAATAAAAGTTCCGCGGTATCCTTCTTACGCCTTAAATTCAACATTCCCCTTTATCTATTAGCTATGCACGAGGAAAGTTTCATTGAGTATGATCAGCCGTAAATGTGAAAAGTACAAATGTAGATTAACGTTCGAGGTGAGGTGAGTGAGGAGCGTCGTTACCCTGATTTCACCTCAATTTATTAACGTATAAGTGTATGGCCGTATAGGCGTACAATTGGTCCAGAAAATACAATCGTTTACTTTGTTACTTGTCCCGGCGGCAGCGGTTCGGCGGGTACGTCGCGATGGTCGGTAAAGGAACAAACTGTCCGGAGGTGTAGGCGTACTGGGTTTTTATATTGTTAGGATAGGGAGACAGGGGTAGCGATAGATAAAGATAGAAGTGGAGAAAGTGGTGGAAACGGAAAATTCGTTGCCTGGATGCCACATGTGCGCTTCTTAGGCCACTCGAGGACGAAGGCAAGTCTTAACCCGGGGAGAGACAAAAAAAACGGAAGGAGTTGGAAAAGAGCAAGTTCGCGTGGAAGAATAGAACGAGGTTCGGTAAGGGTTTGTTGACGACGACGTACCCGCCACAGAGGAAATATAACGAAAAATGGCACACGTTTAACACAAGCAAATAGAGAAAAAATACAGAGAAGAATTAATTCCTTTTAAGAAGTGCGAATCCTTTCAGCGTTTCTTCTCTTCTCTCGGGTGCTGTGTCCTTGTGCGAGTCCAAAGTTGAAAATTGTTAAGCACTCGGGTACTAATTTCCGCGTACTTGGAATACTGCACTGGGTGCCGTCTGAAGACTGAATGTATTGCGTTGAGAGTCTGACTGAATCTTTATTATTCCTAATGTAACTGATGGTCTGTGTACTAACACTCTGTGGTCTTAAGCTAAGTCGGCCTTCTTATCGAGTCGTCCCTTCTCCAAATCTTCGAAAATTTGAAGAAGGGACGCGAAGGGAGGTTCTTAAAATTACTAAGTGACCAACCCCCTATCACCCTCTTCCATTGCGCCCGGAACGAGTCACGTCCTTGGAGCGGGGGTGACGAAGCTGGTCCTTGCTGGATGGAAATTTGACAACAAGGGGGGAAAACCCGGCCAGGTCAACTCTGACTCTCCGACTCGTTCTCGGTTTCGAAGACCCTTTGGGGGTGACTTTATGATACCTTGCCTTACTGACTGAACAATAGCCTATTCTTTAATATTTGAGAAATTCTACGTGCCGCGTGTTGGCTGCAGACCGGTCTGCTAAATTAAAAATAACGGTTTGCTGAACTAGAAATCACGTATCATAAAATCGTCCCCTTGCTGTCCTAACAAAAATAATGAATCCAATAGTATAATAAGCGAAAACAGGGAGAAATATATACGGACAGTAACGCGACTAAGTGTAAGAAATACTTGGTGTGCTTACTTTGTACTATAGTCGCCTCAAAGGATAAAGGTTTAGCCAGCAGGACGTGCCGCGTCACGGTTTGTAAATTCCAGTTCTCGACTAATTAAAAGCGTTCGTTCTCTTTAGAGGTATCTCAACTACAGCGGCCTGGCCGTTCTTCTTCTTTTCTTTTTGTTTAAACACTTTGTTCATTGGCCAACAAAGTACCTACACGCGCTTTCTTTTGACAGCGCGTGGAGAGGCGGGAAGGAAAACAAGAGCCGTAGTGGAAAATTGAATTTCTGACGATCGTACAATACAGAGTTCATTGGAATTTAGATACTGTGCCAGTCGTTCACGTACAATTATACGTTCATTCATTCAACGCGCTTCATACCATATTTTCCAGGGATTACGTGATTCCTATTATGCGATTCCTGCTTCGTCTGCTTATTCTCTTTTGTATCTGGAGACAAAGGGCTGTAATACCTTAAGCTTCGTTTCCCATTTTCGTGCGCATGAGTGATTACCTGCAACTTTTTTTCTTCCTCTTTCTTTTTTCTTCGCAAGAATTCCGTAAAGAAGATTGCGAGTCCGCTGGGGTGGTAGTAGTGTAATGAGAATATATTGCTAACACGCGGTGTTAGCACGTTAACAGCTTATCTGCTTTGATTTCTTCTTTCTGGCTTTTCGTAGAAACGGCGGCGATTCAAAGTCGATCGGTGAATTCGGCTTAGATCAACGTACAGGGTGTTTCGAGTGAAATTGG